CTGCTGATCTCGGAGGGTTGCATGATGACGCAGTTACCTGCAGGACAGGAGCTCCCTCCTGGTAAGGACCTTGCTCCTGGGGAGAAGGAGTCCTGCCCCCAGTGCAGCCCCACCTCCATCGCCCTGGGGAGGACGCAGGGCACCCCAGGGTGAGGTTCTGGTCCCCCCCAGCATGGCAGGGACTCAGCCCATCCTCACCAGCAGCGATGGCCCCAATGAGGGGCACCAGGAGGAGGTTAATGGGGTAGTTCCAGGGCGCAATGATGAGCACCACCCCGTAGGGGTCCTTGCGGATGAAGGCCGAGTCCAGCTGCGTCGCCTGCGGAGGGAAGGATGGCGTGAGGGACACCTGCCTCCCATCCCGCGTGTCCCCACCGGCCGCTGCCCCGTACCCAGTTCTTATCCACGTGCTCGTCCTTCATCCAGGTGCCCAGGTGGTTGAGCGTGTGGTTGAGCTCGCTCCTGCAGACAGAGATCTCGGAGAGCTCCACTTCAAAGGGCGGCTGCGGGCACACAGGAGGTCATGGCGTGCTCGTCCTTCATCCAGGTGCCCAGGTGGTTGAGCGTGTGGTTGAGCTCGCTCCTGCAGACAGAGATCTCGGAGAGCTCCACTTCAAAGGGCGGCTGCGGGCACACAGGAGGTCATGGCCACCGCTGCCGGCGCAGCCCCGTGCCCTCCACGTGATGGTTGTCATCGCAGAGGGCAGCATGGGGTCTCCTGGCCGCTTTAGAAGGATATGACCCTCTCTGCCGGGGCAGACACCCCATGGCCTTGCAGTGGCAAGGACGGGTGGCACGGCCACTGCTCCGGTGTGCCACCGGCATCGTGCCACGCTGCCTGACCCCATGCCAGCAGGTTCCCAGGGCACGGTAGAAGGTCGTGATTGAAGACGTGGACTTGGTATCTCAAGAGCTTCAGCGGCAGCGAGCACGGCGTGCTGCGCACACGGCTCCAGAGGTGGAGATGAGAAACAAGGGCCATGAATTGCTCTCGGCGAAGGCTTCCCCGGAGCTAAGTGACCCCGTTTCTGTGCAGACAGCGGG